CTTCCCCAATTCCCCAACGCTGTTTCCCTCCCCCAATTCCCCAATAAAATCTTAAAATAATAATAATAATACTGTATTGGGGGCTGGCCGAGTGGCTCAGTTGGTTAAGAGCTCACTCAAGAGTTTGAGATCTGAGCAACAGCGGTTCGAGTCCTGGCCCGAGCTGAGCAGCCGCTGAGCTGCCAACAGGTAGTAGGATGGCTCAGCTAAAAACAAAAACAAAACAAACAAACAAAAATAATAATACTGTATTGAACACTGGGAATATGCTAAGAGAGTAGATTTCAGGTACACTCATCACACACACAAAGGTAACTATGTGAAGAGATGAATTAGTTTGACTGTAGTAATTATTTCACAAGGTATATGTCAAATCATCATGTTGTAGATCTTAAATACATAATTTTTATTTAAAAATATATTAATTTAAAAAGACTGCAAGGCGGAGAGGAATTGTAAGACCATAAAGACTCCATACTCTTAAGACCAACACAGACGGTTCAAAAACCAGGGGGAGTTGGCCAGGCCCCATGTATGTACTTATGCCTTTTGCCAGGACAATCTGCTGAGCAGTCTACGATGTCAAGGTTTTCCTTAGAAAAGACAAGGCCCTTCTAGAAGACCCACAGACAAGCAAACAAGTAGAGCAAAGTTCAGCCTCTAGAAAAGTTTGGAAAGGGCTCAAGGAAAATGTTTGCTCAACTTTCGTGTCCAGCATGACTCAGGAAGAAGAGCCTGCGATGAAACCCACCATGAGGAAAGCACTGGGACAGGCCTGGCGGGGTGGGAGGAGAAAAGTGCCTTTTGCATTTTAGCCTTTTGGTTACTTTGGCACTTTGGTTTCCATGCAGCATTTAGTGGATGCTCACAGCCTGATGTAGGCATCCTTTTTTTCTATCTTAAGGTGACCAAAGTGAACTGAGATTCGGAAAGGCGAAGTCACTTCCCAAGGTCATAGTCTTTTACAGAACCGGGACCAGAAACAGGTAGCCCGCATTCAGGGCCAGAACCAAGGAGGGATTAGCGGACGGGACCGTAATGTGGGGGCCGGGAGGGCGGTTCTGCGCAGGCGCCAGGAACCTTCCATGCAGGAGGCCTCTAGGTCCTTTACTAGCTGACACCCTCCGAGGGCGAAAGTGCCCCAGACCGTAACGGAGTGGGGTTCTGTCTGGGAAGCACGTTCTCTGAGCCACCACAGTGTCTCCGTGCCGGTTCCCAAACGGCAGCCACTCACCGAAGACCGGAGCAACCTTCCCGCCACGGCCGCCATCTTCAGTGCACGCTGCAGCCGCCGGGAACACCGAGAAGCAAAGGAGGCCGGGCATGCGGGGGGCGGGACAGGAAGGGGCGGGGCCTCGCCGGCCGGGGCGGGGCCAGGGCCGGAGCCGGGGCGGGAGAGAGCCACAACCTCGCCTCTATTTAGGGACCCTCCGCGTGTAAACGTCTCTGTTGGGTCCTTCCGCTCCTTTTATGAGGGGGCAAGTTCCTGTTATGGCTTGTGAGTAGCTGGATACTTGAGAAAGCAACACTTTGTTTCTAATTGTCGCCCCAACCTTAGAAGGACTAACCCACGTGGGGAGCTAGATACTTGTTTCCATATTTGCAACTCGTGTTTTGTTAACCTGTGTGGATTACTGTTTCTGCCGGTTCTTTAAAAGGACCTCTTTCCTATTTCGGCCTCAGGTAGAGCCTTCTGACTTCTGCATGATATGGAATTAATTTTAGTCTGTTAATAAGCCAAATGGGTCAGGCACATCAAGGTATTGGTGTCCTGAAAACCTTTGGGATGGTCTGTGGGCTTCCATTGTGGCCTCTCTTCCCAAATTGGGAGAATTGGGACAAATTTAAAATTTGTTTTCTGTCGATTTGTGAAACCAAGTGCTCACTGGTAAGCATGGTATTTGGGAGCAAGCTCATCAAACAGATAAAAATCACAGTGTCCTTACAGTAAATGTGACAAATTGCAGACTCTAAATGGGTATTTTCCAAACATCAGTCATTCCATCACCAACTTAGTTTGTTTAATCTGCATACCACGTGCATATTATTTACTATTTTCTTTAAGCTGACTAACTTTTTAAAAAACAAGTGAATTATTTGAAGAAAATGTTAACGTAAATGGAAAACCCTTATAACTTACTACAAATAGAAAATCATTAAAATGAATACATTAAAACAAAATGTTATTAAGTGTCAACTAGGTACAATTGCCTGCTGAAACTCTTGAGTCTTTTTGTTAAAAAGGGAGAATGTGAGGGAGGGAGAGGGTAGGGAAGGGGGGAGGGAGGGAGAAAAAAGAGAGGATGAGAACGTGGTTAGCAACATCCTAGCATCACATGAGACTTCACTTTGATGTAATCCAAAGGGTTTAAAGAGCGTCGAAAGAACAATAATTTTCTCACTTTGGGACTTGATGTTATTGGGTTGTCAGAAAAGTCATGATGTATTTTCTCTATGTTTTTCGTTGCAAAAATGTCAGGACTTTTCCGACAACCCAATATTTATTTTGCTCCCCACCTCCCAACCCCCCAGCTGTGCATGTCCTAAAATCCTCTCATGTACCATTAGTATAGCCTTGGGTACCAGCCCCGTGCTTTGGAAGGACTGCCTTAGAAGCGAAGGGTTTGAATGTAAAGTGGTCTGACCATTTTGGAAAATTCTGTGTCAGTATTTAGTAAAGATGAATATATGACTCAAATAATTCCAGTCCTAGGCATATGTGTACAGCAGCTTATTAAAAAACAGACTAGATTGTTCAGAGCAACGCTGTTATAATGGCACAATGATAAAACTACCCAAGTGCTCATCAACCATAGAATGGATGGGTAAATTGTGATATAAATAACACGGTACAACAATGAGAATGAATGCACTGCAACTACATGCAACGATGTATGTGAGTCTCAGAAACATAACATTGAATGAAAGAAGCCAGATGTGAAAAAGTAGACACTTTGTGTTTTCTTTTATATGAAGTTCAAGAACAGGAAAAACCAATGTGTAGTGTTTGAAGTCAGAATGGTGGGGTTCCCTTGAGAAATAGAGAATTAGGGGGAGGTTAATGATGGGATAAGAATGGGGTACATGTAATATTCTTTTTGTTGACCTGGGTTAAAGTTAATAGTTGTATTCACTTTGTGAACACTTGTTATACTTCAGTTAAAAAGTGTATTTTAAAAAAAGAAGCAAGGGGTACGTGTTTCTCCACCATTTCCCCCTTAGCACCTACATTGTGTTTAATTGCTGCTCGTTATGTGTTTGTTAACAGATGTTTGAAAAGGAAAGGGGATCATAATGTTGGAGCAAATCACACTGTACTTTATAGCAGAATATTATTCAGCCATAAAAAAGATGAAGGATTGATACATACTGTAATATAGATGAAACTGAAAAAAAACCAGACCCAAAAGGCCACAAGGTATATGATTCCTTTCATATGAAATATGTAGAATAGGTAAATCCATAGCAGGAGAAAGCAAATTGACGGTTGCCAAGTGCTGCAGGGAGATGGGGCAGGGAGGCTGACAGCTTAATAGGTACAGAGGAATTTTTTTTGGGGGGGTAGGGGGGAGTGACAAAATGTTTTGGAACTTGATAGAGGTGGTGGTTACACAACATTGCGAATGTACTTAATACCATTGGATTGTACACTTTACAATGACTAAGTTTGTTATGTGACTGTTACCTCAATTTAAAAAAGAAGAAGAAATACCAACAACCAAAACAAAAATCCTTCCGCATTCTAACTTACTGATTTTGTAGACAAGAAAACCGAGACCTTGGGCCGGCCGAGTGGCGCAATGGTTAAGAACTCGCTTGGGATGCCAGAGGGCCCCGGTTCGGATCCCACATATGAGGGCCAGTGACACTGCCCTCCACAGCTAAGATGCTGAACAACAGCTCAACCTGGAGCTGGGCTGCCGTGAGTCGCCGGCGACGGCGTGGGCTGCAGTCCCTGTGGCAGTGGATTGCCATGGGCTACCGTGTGTAGCCAGCAGCCAGCGTGAGCGGCCAGCAGCCGCAGTGAGCGGCCGTCCAGAAGCCGGCGACTGATCTGCCTCGCCAGAGAAGAGCGCAATGATGGTGCCAACTTGGGCCAGTGAAGCAACGTCCTCCACAACTAGATTGAAGAACAAAACGACAGCAACTTGTCTGTTCCCCTTTCCCCAATTCCCCAGCACTGTTCCCACCCCCCCAATTCCCCAATAAAAATCTTTAAAAAAAAAAAAAAAAGAAAAAAAAGAAAACCGAGACCTTTAAAGTTGGAGAGCCCTTCCCAAAGCCACGTAGGTGGTTGGAAGCAGAGGCAGGACCAGCAGCCTGACCAGTCAGTGTTTGGCTGGCTTGGAGTTCAGCCTCAGCACCCTTTCACCAGCCACCTTGTGAGCTGACATTACCTACCCTCTAGTCTTCTCACCTTTCCCCTCATGCTGTAGTTTTTAAATACTGAGCTGCCATGGCTTGAGCCAGGAAGAGCTGCAGGATAGCTTTCTCTTTTCATGTTCCTTAGAGCCCTAGTTTTTTGCTGGCCGCCTCTCATTTTCTCCTATTTTGGAGGGCAGTTCTCTCCCTCCTGTTTTATACACATGTAGTTGAGTCCCCACATGTAGGCAGTTTGATTCATAACTAAACTTCACTGCAAAGCACAGTGCAAACCAAACAGAACAGTGTGGAGTTCCCCCATGATTAACCTTACTCATCCTGGTTTTGGTTTTAGAGTAGAGATGCTTTCATTAGTCCTATCTTATTGGCTGAGGTCTGTTTAGGCTAACAGGTAACATCACTTTCCATGTTCCACTGAGCCCGTCCTCCTACTGCTGCCTTTCAGGTTAGAGGGCAGTTCCTGCATCCTCCCCACCCTGAGCCCACCTGAGCCTCTGGAGTAAGTGCATTTCCTTTCCTACTTGGGTCCCAGGTAGAGCCTTCTGAGGTTGGATGAATTTGCATCAATTAATAATGTGATTTTAATCAGTTAATAAGTATATACTGAGTGAGTCACACAGGTCCTGTTCCCAAGGAGCCCTATGGGTATCCAGGGAGAAATGAGTAAAGATTACAAAAAAATAAATAAATAAATAAATAAATAAAAATAAATAAATCCAAGATCCATCATTTTTAGGGGCATGAAAGAGGCTTAATGGTTGAGTGTGGACAGTCTGGGTTCAGACACCAGCTCTGCCACTTAGTACTTAACTCTCTTGGGCATGCTACTTAACTCTTTGCCTGTTTTTCCATCTGTAAAATGGGAATGACATGAATACCTCCCCCAAAAGGTTGTTGTGAGGAATAAATGAATTAATATTTTAAAAACACTTAGCACGATCTGCAGGCATATAGTGAGTACTATAAGTGCTTGTTATATTAAATAAAAGGGAAGTCCAGGTATAGTGCTATGAGAGTTTAGAGGAGAGAACAAGAAAGGTGTCCTGAAGGTTATCAGAATAAATGGCTTCAGTCCTTGAGGGGGGAATGGGTGAAGATGAAGGGGAAGATGGCAGATAGAAATAACAGGTGACCTTTGTCCCTTGGGTTTGTTATCATTGACAGCCAATATTATTGACAACTTACTCTGGGGCTAAGCTCTGGGCTGAAATGCAGTCTCTAATTTGACTTTCATACAACCCTGTGAGAAAGGAACTATTTTTTTTTTTTTTTTTTTAGCTGAGCCATCCTGCCACCTGTTGGCAGTTCAGCCGCAGCTCAGCTGGGGCCGCAAATCGAACTGGCGACCCTGTTGCTCAGGGCTATTTTTAATTCCTCATTCCCATTTCATATGTGGCGATACTGAGACTTAGGGAGGTGTAGTAATTTGCCCAAACTCTCACAAGGAAAGGGAAGGAGCCAAGATTTAAAACCCAAAAGCTGACTGTGAAGTCTCCATTCTTAACACAATGCTGTCTCACCTCCACAGTATTGTTGGAGCATAAGGTGCTTGATGGGACCTAACAGGAGACGCTGCTAAACAGGTGGTCTGGGTCAGCGCTATTTATCCTTCAGTGAAATGTCTCCAAATGCTCTCCTCCCAGGCCTAACAGGGAAGCTCTCCTTTGATGCATTCGTAACCTCTAATCTTTCGTCTGAGTAGGTCTCGTGGGTTCTGCCCCCACATTGATGGTCCCCATCTGGGGAACTTGCCTGGTGTTGCCCACTCTATTCTCTTTTTTTCCTCTGGTTTCTGTCTGTTCCTATCCTCACCCCTGGCTTGTGGGAGGAAGGTACCTATTTAGATGTGACAACCAAAAATGACTCCTAACATTGCCAAGTGTCCCCTTGGGGGACAAAATCACCCCCGGATGAAAACCCCCTGCTCTAATGGTTAATGGCATA